CACAATCTCGACCCTGCCTCCACTAAAACACCTATAGAGAGGTACCTCAAAGCAAAGAAATAGATGTCTCCAAATAATTTTATTCGATAAATTCTGCCCCATTCTTTGCACTCTCTCCACTCTTCTACATCCTGAAAATGAGCCAAGACAACCTAGAGTCGTAGAATCTATTCTCAAACATTTCTGCAGTAAACCCAATTTATAGTGGTGTATCTCATTCTTTCTCTCATACTTGGCATCAATTGCTATGGCATCAAATTAAAAAATAAAATAGTGGGAGTACTAATCTAACATCATAAATTATAAGTGAGCATCTACTATGTTGTAGACACAATGCTCCATGTCCTTGGCACAATTTATAACCTATCCACTACACTTTAATTTATTTTTATATTAAAAATAGCCAAAATGAGATTAAGTGCCCTCTTCAGTGAACTATCACTTATCACTCACACACTGGACAGTATGTACTATGCTACTTGATAGGTCTTTTTCACATGAATGGAACATAGTCCCTATCATCTAAAGAAATTACACATTAGCAAAACAATTAAAAAAGTAAAGAAATTTTTAAATTACAAGAGATTAATATAACAGGAGATAACAAATGCTTTTGAAATCTTTTGAAAGTATGCATCTCAGCATTGTAGCCAAGAGAAAATGATTTAGAGAAGGAGACTATATACAGAAAAGATGTCTGAAAAAGTATTGCCTATAGAATATATATGAATTGGGCAACAGGTGAAGAATAGGAAAAGAGCAAACCAGGTAGGGTATAGAGGACTCTGTTGCTTACGAACTCAATATTCTTTCCCTTTCTTTTTCCCTCTTAACAAATTCCAGATTTTCTCAGACACCTGCTCCTCCTGTATACACCATGTACCTCAGAAGAAGTAAATTTTATCCCCAGATTCAGGAGTGGCTCTGATTGGTCTAAGATGGGGTTTCTCAATCATAGCACTGCTGATATTTGGTGCTGGATAATTCTTTGTTTAAGCAGGCAGTATGAGAAGAGAAGCTGTCCCATACACTATAAAATGTTCAGCAGCAGGGTGTTACCACCCACTAGATGACAGTAGCACCCAACACATTCCCCCCACAACCCACCCTGCACACCTCAACTTGTGACAACCAAAAATATCTTCAGACACTGATAAATGTCTGCTAGGGAACAAAATATGTCCCCTCACCTCGAGTCACAGGTCCAAGGATACTTTCAATGTTTTAGAATGAGCATGAAACTAAACTCTGACTCTTCTCATTCTTCCTATCTCTGTGTATTGCTGTGATGCCTGGAACTGCCACAGCCATCTTGCTTCAGCTTGAAGAAAAAGGTAGTGAACAAAGATAATGGAAGAAAATTAGAAAGAACCCAAGACCTTGATGATCTTGTTAAGTGGATTCTTTGTTGTAGGAACTGTCCTGAATGTCCTGATCCATGAAATAATATATTTATTGTCTAATACAGTTTCTTTTGAGGTTTTTACAAATTGCAGCACAGAGATTTTTAGCTGGTACAAGAAGAAACAAGCATGTGGCCCATCCTGAGATTAAGAGAGTAGGGTACAATTAAGGAACTTCAAGTAATTCAGTATGGCTGGAGAACGAAAACTTAAATGACTACATGAAGAAAGATCAAGGATATGACAGCAATTAGAGATGAAAATACTGTATGCAATGATAAGTAGTCATTGGGAAGTACTGAAGGTTTACGTAGGATCAGAATTGATTTTTAAAACACAGGTCAAGTTTCGGCCGGGCGCGGTGGCTCAAGCCTGTAATTCCAGCACTTTGGGAGGCCGAGACGGGTGGATCACGAGGTCAGGAGATCCAGACCATCCTGGCTAACACGGTGAAACCCCGTCTCTACTAAAAAAATACAAAAAAAAAACCAAAAACAAAAACAAACAAACAAACAAACAAACAAAAAAAACCTAGCCGGGCGAGGTGGCAGGCGCCTGTAGTCCCAACTACTCGGGAGGTTGAGGCAGGAGAATGGCGTGAACCTGGGAGGCAGAGCTTGCAGTGAGCTGAGATCCGGCCACTGCACTCCAGCCTGGGCAACAGAGCGAGACTCCATCCCAAAAAAAAAAAAAAAAAAAACACTGGTCAAGTTCTGAATGCCAGATGAGAAAAGCAAGACTGAAGTCAGAAATCAGAAGTAGGAGGCAAGTGCAGTAGTACATGTGAGAATAGAAGGGGGGATCTTCACTTCCACTTCACAAAAATACTTTGCTTTTTAGTTTTTCTTCACTGCATTCAAAGTTAAATGATCAAATTTCTGCTTTCTAATCCTCCTGAAACAATGTTTTCTCATTTGAGGAACATGTCTCATTTATAGTTAACTAATACACCACCAGTTAAAACCAAGGGTACTTCTACTTTTATACTTTCAAGTCAAACAGATTTCTCCATACAGAAATCTGACTTTGATCTTTACAATTCTACCAATACAATAGTCTTTTTATCACACAATAATTATATCAAGACTTTCATAAAGCTAGAGTAACACCCACGTGGGCCTCTCAGGCATAGTGACCGTATTAGGGAATGAGCTCTGAGACGAGAACAGAGTACAAACACCGGGTGTTTTTCCAGGTGGTTGAGTATGCTGAGGTCTACCGATTAGTTAAGTGAGATATTTTTACAGTCTATATTCCCAATTAGTTATGGAGTTGTATGCAAAACCTTTAAATGGTTTAGAGCAGAACAACTTTTTGCCATAAAGCTAAATTAGGACTATTCAGAAGTTTCTACCATAAAGATTTGTTTATGCAACTTTTTAAATATTGATTATTTAACTGACAAACAAAAATTATATGCATCTATGGAGTACAACATAATGTTTTCAAATATGTATACAATGTGGAATGGCTAAATCAAGCTGATTAATATATGCATTACCTCATATATGTATCTTTTTGTGGTGATAACACAATATCTACTCTCGTAGTGATTTACAAGTATACTATACACTGTTAAATATTGTCACCATGTTGTACAATAGATCCCTTGAACTTATTCTCCTAAAGGAAATTTTGTATACTTCAACCAAGATTTCTCCAATCCACTCCCAACTCCTAGTTCCTGGTGACCACCATTCTACTCTTTTCTCCTATGAGTTCCACACTTTAAGATTCTACCTCTAAGTAACAACATGCAGTATTTGTCTTTCTGTGCCTGGTTTATTTCACATAATATAAGATCCTCCAGCTTCATCTATATGATCTCAAATGTCAGATTTTCTGTCTTTTTTAGGGCTGAATAGTATTCCATTGTGTAGATATGCCACATTTTTTTTTATTATACTTTATGTTCTAGGGAACATGTGCACAATGGGCAGGCTTGTTACATATGTATACATGTGCCATGTTGGTGTGCTGCAAACATTAAATCATCATTTACATTAGGTATAGCTCCTAATGCTATCCCTCCCTGCCCCCCACCCCACAATAGGCCCCACTGTGTGTTGTTCCCCTTCCTGTGGAACAAGTGATCTCATTGTTCAATTCCCACCTATAAGTGAGAACATGTGGTGTTTAGTTTTCTGTTCTTGTAATAGTTTGCTGAGAATGATGGTTTCCAGCTGCATCCATGTCTCTACAAAGGACATGAACTCAACCTTTTTTATGGCTGCATAGTATTCCATGGTGTATATGTGCCACTTTTTTTTTCAGATTAAAAAAAAAGATACTTTATTATAACTTTTAAAATTGCAGAACATCAGACTGAATATCATTAGACACATAAACAAAACCACTCATCTCTAAAGTCATCTTCTATACCCTCTCAAAATTTGGCCAGTGAGTTATGCCTCAGTGAATTTTCCAGTTCAACCCCATACACCAATGTGAAATAAATGGAAACACTAGCCTTTTGGTTTTGCCCATGGTTCCAAAGTGCTATTAGAGGTGGAATATCTGCTGCAGGAGGTCATTCTTGCTGCTGTGGGTGTAAGTAAAATATCCATCTCTTCACCTCTGGTCTGGCAGGCTTTGTTCTCTTTCTCCTTGTTTTGTCTCCTTCTAGAGGGGTTGTCTTACATACTGCAATCAAAAGACATCTTCTGCTCAGAATCACAACAGATAGTGAGTGGTTCATGTGAGAAGTAATGTTACATAGTAAGTTACTGAATCTACAATGAGAAATTAACTCTGGGGTTACAACTCAAATATGATTTCAAGGTAAAGAAAATAATTCCTTGGCTGGCTTGTAAAATGTTTAGTTCCTTCTAAAATCATAATTGCAAAATGGACTTCTGCTTCACGCTGCATCCCAAGGCACAAATCAGGTAACCTACGTCTCCCAAATGATCAACAGAGCACTCCATCCTCTTTTACCCTCAATGCTGAGAAATTACTCCTGGGCCCAGAAGTTGTCGCATAGGTGGCTTGGGTTACTTGGTGCTCAGGCAACAACTGCCACAGGTCCCACGTTGATGAACACCATCAATTTCTTTAAATATGATGATACTAAGATGGAGGCCCCTGCTCAGAGGAAGCAAGGACATAAAAGCTGAGATAGAGTGCGTTGAGGGTCACTACACTAACAGACGCAGATGACATGATGGAACGTGAATATTGAAGCTTACAATCTTCTGAAAAATCTCTTTTTCAAAACTCATACGCCCTTTTTTCTAATCGTGAAATCAGGGACAGGGAAACATTCACATAATTACCCACCAACATGTTCTTCTTAACAGAAGTGAAGATTATTTTAAGAATATGAAAAGTGTTTCAAGACATCTATTTTCAGGGATAGATCAGAGCAACAGAAGTACTTTTCAGAGTTGGTTCATTTTAAAATCTGTCTCAAGAACAAGGGCAGCCTGCTTTCACAAGGTACCAAGACATGTTCTGGCAAAAACATTTTCACGTTAGGTTATATGCTGTCAAGTTCAACTATTTTATACATATCTGATCCTTTTCTGTCAGCAAAAAAGGTACAATTTTTTTAAAACTTGAAAATCAATAATTTCTGGGTAGGATAAGCGTAGAATTTTGGTTTTATTTTATACTTCAGAACACGGATGAAACCAAAAGGTCTGCAATTGTCTCTACATTCACATCTTTCAAAGGTCCTTTCCTCCTTTTACATGATTCATCTGAATCATTGCCATCCTGATTTAAAGACATATTTTCAACTTTCATTAGTGATGAATAGCTCCTAAGTTCATCCATTTCCCTTTTCTTCTTCATTTCTTCTTTTTCTCACCTTTTCATTTCCTGAATTTGGGTTTTTTTCTCATTCCTCTCTTCATGATCTCCGCATTCTTTCTCTGCTGCTAGGTCTGGGAACCGCTTCACTTTGGTCTTTTCTAATCAGCTCACGATCTTGTTTACTTTCTTCTCCACTGTCACAATTTTTACATCCTTCTGCCTGTGAAAGCCTATCTGCCCCACATCCATGTCAGCTGTTTTCTTCAGGTTAGATCACAGAATATATACCACATTAACGTTGTTCATCTTGCAGCCTTCAATGCTATTGGCCTTCACAAGGTGGGCACAGTCCATCAGCACTTCCTTTGGAATGTCTTCTATATTCTCTCCCTTATGTAATCGAAGGTATACATGAGCTGAAGAGAGTTTGTCCTCATGAAACCAGATATCTTCAGGCCAGCCATGCTTGATCAGATCTTCATTTTCATATTTATCTTTTCCCATGTAAATAGTGTAGGCAGATGAAATAACGCTGCTGCTGGTGAAGTAGAACACCATGATCACAGGAGCGGTGCAGTGACTCCACTGCGGAGCAGCAGCGCTCAACTCACGAAGCTCAGGATACCAGACTCGCAGTGACCGCCTGGCCCCCGGAACTCCTCCGTCTATGTGCCACATTTTCTTAATCCAGTCTGTCATTGACGGACATTTGGGTTGGTTCCAAGTTTTTGCTATTGTGAATAGTGCCACAATAAACATACGTGTGCATGTGTCTTCATAGCAGCATGATTTATAGTCCTTTGGGTATACATCCCATAATGGGATGGCACGGTCAAATGGTATTTCTAGTTCAAGATCCTTGAGGAACCATCACACTGTTTTCAACAATGGTCGAACTACTTTACAGTTCCACCAACAGTGTAAAAATGTCTCTATTTCTCCACATCCTCTCCAGCACCTGTTGTTTCTTGACTTTTAAATGATTGTCAATCTAACTGGTGTGAGCTGGTATCTCATTGTGGTTTTGATTTGCATTTCTCTGATGGCGAGGGATGATGAACATTTTCTCGTGTCTATTGGCTGTATAAACATCTTCTTTGAGAAGTGTCTGTTCATTTCCTTTGTCTGCTTTTGGGTTTTTTTTTTTTTTTTTCTTGTAAATTTGTTTGAGTTATTCGTAGGTTTTAGATATTAGTCCTTTGTCAGATGAGTAGATTGCAAAAATTCTCTCCCATTCTGTAGGTTGCCTGTTCACTCTGACGGTAGTTTCTTTTGCTGTGCAGAAGATCTTTAGTTTAGTTAGATCCCATTTGTCAATTTTGGCTTTTGTTTCCATTGCTTTTGGTGTTTTAGACATGAAGTTCTTGCCCATGCCTCTGTCCTGAACAGTATTGCCTAGGTTTTCTTCTGGGGTTTTATGGTTTCAGGTCTAACATTTAAGTCTCTAATCCATCTTGAATTAATTTTTGTGTAAGGAGTAAGGAAGGGATCCAGTTTCATCTTTTTAATTATGGCTAGCCAGTTTTCCCAGCACCATTTATTAAATAGGGAATCCTTTCCCCATTTCTTGTTTTTGTCAGATTTGTCAAAGATCAGATGGTTGTAGACGTGTAGTATTATTTCTGAGGACTCTGTTCTGTTCCATTGGTCTATATCTCTGTTTTGGTACCAGTACCATGCTGTTTTGGTTCCTGTAGCCTTGTAGTATAGTTTGAAGTAAGGTAGTATGATGCCTCCAGCTTTGTTCTTTTGACTTAGGATTGTCTTGGCAATGCAGGCTCTTTTTTGATTCCATAAGAACTTTAAAACAGTTTTTTCCAATTCTGTGAAGAAAGTCATTGGTACCTTGATGGGGATGGCATTGAATCTATAAATTACCTTGGGCAGTATGGCCATTTTCACAATATTGATTCTTCCTATCCATGAACATGGAATGTTCTTCCATTTGTTTGTGTCCTCTTTTATTTCACTGAGCAGTGTTTTGTAGCTCTCCTTGAAAAGGTCCTTCACATCCGTTGTAACTTGGATTTCTAGGTATTTTATTCTCTTTGAAGCAATTGTGAATGGAAATTCATTCATGATTTGGCTCTCTGTTTGTCTGTCACTGATGTATAAGAATGCTTGTGATTTTTGCACATTGATTTTGTATCCTGAGACTTTGCTGAAGTTTCTTATCAGCTTAAGGAGATTTTGGGCTGAGATGATGGGGTTTTCTAAATATAGAATCATGTCATCTGTAAGCAGGGACAATTTGACTTCTTCTTTTCCTACTTGAATACCCTTTCTTTCTTTCTCTTGCCTGATTGCCCTGGCCAGAACTTCCAACACTATGTTGAATATGAGTGGTGAGAGAGGGCATCTCTATCTTGTGCCAGTTTTTAAAGGGAATGCTTCCAGTTTTTGCCCATTCAGTGTGATATTGGCTGTGGCTTTGTCACAAATAGCTCTTACTATTTTGAGATACGTTCCATCAATACCAAATTTATTGAGAGTTTTTAGCATGAAGGGCTGTTGAATTTTGTCAAAGGCCTTTTCTGCGTCTATTGAGATAATCATGTGGTTTTTGTCTTTGGTTCTGTTTATATGCTGGATTACATTTATTGATTTGCATATGTTGAACCAGCCTTGCATCCCAGGGATGAAGCCCACTTGATCATGGTGGATAAGCTTTTTGATGTGCTGCTGGATTAAGTTTGCCAATATTTTATTGAGGATTTTTGCAGTGATGTTCATCAGGGATATTGGTCTAAAATTCTCTTTTTTGGTTGTGTCTCTGCCAGATGTTAGTATCAGGACAATGTTGGCCTCATAAAAAGAGTTAGGAATGATTCACTCTTTTTCTATTGATCGGAATAGTTTCAGAAGGAATGGTACCAGCTCCTCCCTGTACCTCTGGCACAATTCAACTGTGAATCCATCTGGTCCTGGACTTTTTTTGCATGGTAGGCTATTAATTATTGCCTTAATTTTAGAGTCTGTTTTTGCTCTATTCAGAGATTCAACTTCTTCCTGGTTTAGTCTTGAGAGAATGTATATGTCCAGGAATTTATCCATTTCTTCTAGGTTTTCTAGTTTATTTTTGTAGAGGTGTTTATAGTATTCTCTGATGGTAGTTTGTATTTCTGTGGGATCGGTGGTGATATCCCCTTTATTATTTTTTATTGCCTCCATTTGATTGTTCTCTCTTTTCTTCTTTATTAGTCTTGCTAGCAGTCTATCAATTTTTTTGATCTTTTCAAAAAAAACAGCTCCTGTATTCATCAATTTTTTGAAGGGTTTTTGTGCCTCTATCTCCTTCAGTTCTGCTCTCATCTCAGTTATTTCTTTCCTTCTGCTAGCTTTTGAATGTGTTTCCTCTCACTTCTCTAGTTCTTTTAATTGTGATGTTAGGGTGTCAATTTTAGATCCTTCCTGCTTCCTCTTGTGGGCATTTAGTGCTATAAATTTCCCTCTACACACTGCCTTAAATGTGTCCCAGAAATTCTGGTATGCTGTGTCTTTGTTCTCATTCATTTCAAGAACATCTTTATTTCTGCCTTCATTTTGTTATGTACCCAGTAGTCACTCAGGAGCAGGTTGTTCAGTTTCCATGTAGTTGAGTGATTTTGAGTGAGTTTCTTAGTCCTGAGGTCTAGTTTGATTGCACTGTGGTCTGAGAGATGGTTTGTTATAATTTCTGTTCTTTTACATTTGTTGAGGAGTGCTTTACTTCCGACTATGTGGTCAATTTTGGAATAAGTGTGATGTGGTACTGAGAAGAATGTATGTTCTGTTCATTTGGTGTGGAGAGTTCTGTAGATGTCTATTAGGGCTGCTTGGTGCAGAGTTGAGTTCAATTCCTGGATATCCTTGTTAACTTTCTGTCTTGTTGATCTGTCTAATGTTGACAGTGGGGTGTTAAAGTCTCCCATTATTATTGTGTGGGAATCTAAGTCTCTTTGTAAGTCTTTAAGGACTTTCTTTATGAATCTGGATGCTCCTGTATTGGGTACATATATATTTAGAATAGTTTGCTCTTCCTGATGAATTAATCCCTTTACCATTATGTAATGGCCTTCTGTCTCTTTTGATCTTTGTTGGTTTAAAGTCTGTTTTATCAGAGGCTAGGATTGCAACCCCTGCCTTTTTCTGTTTTCCATTTGCTTGGTAGGTCTTCCTCTATCCCTTTATTTTGAGCCTATGTGTGTCTCTGCACATGAGATGGGTCTCCTGAATACAGCAAACTGATGGATCTTGACTCTTTATCCATTCTGCCAGTCTGTGTCTTTTAGTTGGACCATTTAGCCCATTTACATTTAAGGTTAATATTGTTATGTGTGAACTTGATCCTGTCATTATGATGTTAGCTGCTTATTTTGCTCGTTAGTTGATGTATTTTCTTCCTAGCATCAATGGTCTTAACATTTTGGCATGTTTTTGCAATGGCTGGTACCTGTTGTTCCTTTCCATGTTTATTGCTTCCTTCAAGATCTCTTGTAGGGCAGGCCTAGTGGTAGCAAAATCTCTCAGCATTTGCTTCTCTGTAAAGGATTTTATTTCTCGTTCACTTATGAAACTTAGTTTGACTGGATATGAAATTCTGGGTTGAAAATCCTTTTCTTTAAGAATGTTGAATATTGGCCCCCACTCTCTTCTGGCTTGTAGAGTTTCTGCTGAGAGATCTGCTGTTAGTCTGATGGGCTTCCCTTTGTGGAAGGGACCTGACCTTTCCTGACTGCCCTTAACAGTTTTTCCTTCATTTCAACTATGGTGAATCTGACATTTATGTGTCTTTGAGTTGTTCTTCTCAAAGAGTATCTTTGTGGTGTTCTCTGTATTTCCTGAATTTGAATATTGGCCTGCCTTGCTAGGTTGGGGAAGTTCTACTGTATAATATCCTTCAGAGTGTTTTCCAACTTGGTTCCATTCTCCCTGTCACTTTCAGGTACACCAATCAGACGAAGATTTGGTCTTTTCACATAATTCCATATTTCTTGGAGGTTTTGTTAATTTCTTTTTACTCTTTTTTCTCTAAACTTCTCTTCTCACTTCATTTCATTCATTTGATCTTCAATCACTGATAACTTTTCTTCCAGTTGATCGAGTCGGTTACTGAAGCTTGTGCATTTGTCACGTAGTTTTGTGTCGGGGGTCAGGTCGTTTATGGACTTCTCTGCATTGGTTATTCTATATATTCATTTGTCTCTTGTGGGAAGTCAGGGACCCCGAATGGAGGGACCGGCTGAAGCCACGGCAGAAGAACATAAATTGTGAAGATTTCATGAACATTTATTAGTTCCCTAAATGAATACTTTTATAATTTCTGATACCTGTCTTTACTGCAATCTCTGAACATAAATTGTGAAGATTTCATGGACACTTATCACTTCCCCAGTCAATAATCTTGTGATTTCCTGTGCCTGTATTTACTTTAATCTCTTAAACTCATCATCTTCTTGGTAAACTGAGGAGGATATATGTCACCTCAGGACCCTGTGATGATTTCGTCAACTGCACAAATTGTTTGTAGATTATGTGTGTTTGAACAATATGAAATCTGGGCATCTTGAAAAAAGAACAGGATAACAGCAATGTTCATGGAACACCAGAGGTAAGACTTCTGGCCTCCAGTGAGCTGGACAGAACAGAGCCATATTTCTCCTCTTTCAAAAGCAAATAG